CGACTGCCAGCGACTGCAACAAGAACAGGCACCTGAGCAGCAGGAGGGCAGGGGGGAAGGAAGTAAGGAGGGAGATGTGTGTGTATGTGTGTGTGCGTTGTAACAAAGAGAGTGGATGCAAAACAAAAGCTCCTTCCAGCTCCTGTTGCTTTGATTCATCTTATGACACTTTCAAGTATAAATCTCAAGTAACATTCAACATTCTTAGATACTTAATGTTATATTTCGGTTTTCTCTGCAATCTTCAATGAATAAACTATTTTTATAGACATCAGTTATTCTGGAAAAAAAAAACAATTATTCATGTTGCAAAGTAAACAAACATGCTTATTTCCTGTAGTTTTACTGCGAAGGACTAGATTAAACAACAAAACAAATCATGGTTCGCTTGGAAGATTTTCTCCAAGTTGTATCTATCTTTAGTTCACAATGGAGTTCAAGAGCTGTTTGATATCGATTCACGTTCATCAGTCCCCCGTCTTCCTCACCGTCTCAGACCTGACTGCGTCTTATAAACTCGATGACCCATTTCTGTACATGAACTGAATACTGAGAGTGAAGAATAGAAATAATGGGAAGGAAAAGGAAGAGTGTTCAGACAGCTGAAAGGAATGCAGGTTAGGAAAGCAGGCAAGTACCAACACTTATCAAGTATTGAAGATGTGTGTAGATGAGCCTAATAAATCCATGCCATTTGTATTTGAGCATCAAACTGACATTTCCTTTTTAAAAGTCATTACTTATAAGACATCCTTAAAAATAAAAAACAAAAGCTACAGCCTTGTTCAGTGTCCAAGCAGTTTTCTGCTGACATTTATCATCTTTATTGAACATAATACCACAGCAGATTTAGGACTAATTTTAAGGATCTCTAGATCAGTTTAATGGTACAAATTATTTAACGATTAAGAGTGACTTCTATAAGGTGACATCTCCAATATGGAGTCATGGCGAAGTGATGATGACGGAGATTATTCCACTACGTTTAGCTGCGCTGACTCAAATATCATTGCAAAATAAGACATGTTTAAACAAGTTGTAAGGTCATGGTCTTGGCTTCCTTTACTTCAGTTTCAACAAACTGTTTCAGTTCGGTGTGAGCTGTAGCATCCAGACAACTTATGAACAATGTGATAAACACGATGATGCAGTCCAATGAAGCAGTCGGTTTTCAAGGTTTTTAATCTAACAAATTAGATGTTTTTGTTTAAACAGTGTTGCAGTTAGTGCCTGTTGTTCAGCAACATTTATGAACATAAACTGCAACTAACTGAATTCCTTGACCTCTGCGTCTTAAAATTTACTACAATGGTCTAGAAAAGCAAACATACGCAGTGTAACAATTGAAATATAACATTCAGCTCCAACTATTACACGGCTTGTGCAGTTCTCCTAGAATCCTTCCAAAGTCAGCAACCATCAGCACATTAAGTAAAGATTTTGAAAGATCAATATATGCAAAAAGTCTTTAAACTGTGGGGATACTGTTGCATTTGAAGGATGATGGAAAGACCTTTAAGTTATTCACAAATGACATGAGAAATCAACCCCTTTCTCAAATCCAGATGGAAAACGCAACCAAAACCCACAGAAGTAAAATAAATGAATCAATGCAACATGGCCAGTTTACACTGATTTATAGAGACATCATTCGTCCTCTTTTTCTGCTCATATTTAGGCTAAAGCTTTGTTTGAAATCTTTAGTGCCACTATTTTTGTCTCGCTACTATAAGAATTTAAAGCATGACAGGAAAGAAGTGAAGAGTACTCAACTCAGTCACATCAGATCTTTTTGTTATCTGATCCAAACCAACACACAATGCATTTCCTTCAGTGGATCTCAACAATTTAGAAGCTTAAAGACGAAACTTAAAGACAAAAACATGGAACTTGCACGAGTAGCAAATTCACCTCATCCACACAGTAGCAGTTGCCACTTTGTGCTGCAGACACTAAAGAAGCACGACACAACCTTTCAGCTCAATGGGGAAATTACAGTTTACCCCTGGGAATGGGGGAGAGGGAAGGGAAGTAGGATTGGTGTCCAAAGATCCAAACAAGAGGAAATGTGGACATTAGCAGAGCTTTACTCTGCTTCAAGATGCACAGAGACACAGAATACAGCAAAGACAACATCAGAGTAAGCCAGACATGGACAAACTGTCCTTTAAGATCTCTCCATTATTAACTCATGATGGTTTGGGGAAAGCAGACCTGGATGGCTTTTGGTGAACACACACAGGAAAGGCAAAAGGAAGGAGAAGTAGAAGAGGGACTACAGCACTGAGCTGATAAAATGGAAAGGAAAACTCTTCCATTCCCTCCATCTTTGACTGAAGGCTCCGGCAGCCGGTCGCCTGGACCACGAAGAGCGGCTGCTTCAGCATGATTAATTTCACAGGACAGGACGGCCGGCTCATATCAGAACGGACCACGAGTCATTAACTCAACAAATTCTTACTATAATGACAGCTTGTCAGACAAACCGGTGGCTTAACAGATCTCACAATTAATCATTTTTGTGGACTCATAATAAAACTGTTTATATTATATTTATATATACAATAGAATATTATGTTAAATGAATTAAGACAAAAGCTTGTTTGATCGTTACTGAAACAATTAGGAGATAAACCAGAAAGACTTTTATACACACAGAGAAGTCTGCCAAACGGGTAGCTATTTTTAAATCATCTCTAGTCAGAATATTGCTGGATAAAACTAAATGAATTAGGGAAACTGGAAACCATTTCATTAAAGCATTTAATTGATATCAAAGATCTGTTGTCACTTTGGCTCTGATTCTGCATCTCCAGAATCAGAACCAAACACGGAGAAGCAGCATTCTGTTTTTAAGCTCAAATAACCTGAAACAAACTTCCAGAAAACTGAAAAACAACTGAAACAATGAGTTCCTTTTAATGAAAGCTAAAAACTCGCCTGTTTAGAGTTGTCTTTGATTCATAATATCTAAAATACTGATCAATATACTTGATGTATTTACTTAATGATGTCATTTGACAAATTTTAATGTTTATTGCTGTTTCATAATTGGTTACTGTATTATGTGTCTACGGTGTAAAACACTTTGAATTGTCTTGTGGCTGAATTGTGTTATATAAAACTTGAATGCACCCTAAAGCCATAACAAATAAATTCTCTAACAGCTTCAAATATATTTGTGAGTAATTGTAACAGTGAATTTGGCAGCCCAATAAGACGCAAGATGTTACTCATGTTTGTCTGATCAGACAAACACATTGGCGTCTAGATCAACTCCAAAGCTCTCCAACTCATTCATAGTAAAACCTGAACCAAGTGGATTATGGATATTAGCCACAACTAAAAAGCTCCCAAAAGAAACTGTAAACAGATAAACTACATAATTAAAATTCTATTTCCACTAGATTAAACACCAGTTGTCAGCAAAGCTGCTTTCAAAGAAAACACGGGGTGGGGTGGCAGCTGCCTACGGGAGCAGCAGCTGTCAAACTGAATACGGGTTTGATAGAGAAGGGAAATAAATAACATTTTACCCACAGGAAGACGCACATAGTCAGTGTTTGCTAAAGTGATTCCTGCCAGGTACGTAAAATGGAATTTATGAATGGGGGAAATAAAGAAACGACGCTCATGTGTCAGTCGCGGTTCCCATAAACAACGTTATTTGCGGCCTGATGAATCAAAACAGGTGCTGTTTCTGCTCCATTTTGAATTTCGACGGGATTGTTGGCTTTAATTTCAGCGCACTATCGATGTGTTGCTTTTCCCCTGAGTATTTGCTTTCGAAACAACGAATCAAACACGAACGTTGCACAGCCGCTTTGCATTTGAAGGGGTGTAGAAAGGCGTCCAAGACGTAGCCCCAACACAGATTGAATGGCACTGGCCAAATGTACGATCCACGCTGACTGAATGGCCCGTGTAACAATGAAATGTAACTCGGTGTGGGGGTGTCATACGTGAACATGCGTTGGATGAAAAGCCAAGGTTGTTAGGTGAAAAATACAACATATCCTCTTGGCAATATAACAAAGATAATAAGAAAACCCCGCTCCAAGCTGAAATGAACTAAGCTTACCTTTAACGCGTCTTCAGATTCAGCCCAAAAATCAGAGACGCACCGCCAGAAAACCGCTCAGATCCCGGACGGCTGTCCTCATTAAAACAATAATGGAAACCTTGGGCCAGCCGCAAATCCCATTTAGCGAATTTCACTGGAGCCGCAGAAGGAGGAGGTCATGACGGGGGACTGCCTTCTGGAACAAGAGGGCAAAGCAGCCGGTGTTGTGCTACGGTGGGCCGGGCAAACGCCAGACTGTTCAGCTGGAGAGAGCCGACGGCGCAGGAAATTCATGCGTCGAAGCAGGAGTGGTGTAGTGAGTGAGCAGAAGACAAGCCGCGTTGGGGGGGAAGCCAGTGGATAGCGCATCACTGATGAAACATGGGAGCGAAAATTTAAACCGACACGATTGAGGGTTTTTTTACGCAGTAGCGTAAACTTCGTTGGGAATTAGCTTTATGTTGCGCAAGATACAGAAGAAGATCTCTCCTGCGTTGGCAGGCAGGAGCAAACACAGGATGTGACAGTTTAATGCTATTTAGTTGTCACGATCGGCGTAAAATTGTTTTATTTTGCTGAAATAAAAGTTCCACACTTCCTAAATCACTGCTTTCTTACGGGGAAAGCTGTTAGCTTCCTTTCTGGAGAGGTAAATTGGTTGCTAAGCAACACGCTGTCCTTACGCTAAGAAACGTGACGCATTATCATTAAACTGGTACACTTTTCTATCGGCTATTTGATCAATACATTTTATTGTTAAATCATAACATTTCATAAAAACATAAGACTATGTTGTATGCTATATATTTAAATTTTTCCACGCACTATAAAATGTACTTTCAAAGGTTGCATAGTTCAGAAATGAATTATTTTATTACATAAATCTCTGCTTCAGTTGGATTTACACATAATTTCAGTACCCATGTTTTTTAAATTGGAAAAATATCCAATCTCTCAGGTTAATCATATAATTTATATGCTATTATGATTATTTTTTAAAGTGACAAAAAATGTTTACCAGTTTTTTTCCCTAACAAGCAGTGAACTGTATCAACCCAGCACAAGAAAAGTAAAAATAACCAAATTGACTTACCTTACTTATTTATAACATAATGAAAACATCAATAAGAGGCTTTAGCAATCAAATTTTATGTTAATGTTTTTCTTCACACAAATACTTATTTTAAGCAGCGATTTAAAAACATCAATAATAAGGAAACAGGCTGTTATTTTCTACAAAACTGGTTTTATGAGAAGCTAAAATGAATTCTGACCCATTTATATAAACATAGGATTGATAATAAATATAGTTATGGGGGTTATTTTATTTATTGTAATACACATACAATAAGAAAAGCAGATAAAGGAAAACCAAACACTGTCAAATATTTATCAGCAATCATTAACAATCAGCAAACACTACGTCATTTAGTGTGTTTGTGTTGAGTGTAGAGATTAAGCTGAGGGTCATTCTGAAGTGACTCAGATGTAGTGTTGTAATATGATGTTAGAACCTTAGAACAGGGATTAAAGACAAAACACACAACAAAAGGGCACATAAACATCTATCTCTTCTTTTTGCTCTCCTTCTTTTGCTTCTGTCGAATCTGAGGTGCTGCTCCTTTTGCTTTCTTCATCTGTTCTCCAGTTTTGCTTTCAGTGGATTCAGTCTCCTCCTGTGGAGCAAGCAACAGAAACAATAAAACTCTCCAGGTGAGCAGGAAGGCTGGGGTGAAAATATATAAAATCAAACAATTACATAAGTGTAGTCTGAGGATAATGCTCTTACTCCTGCTGTTAGAACAACTGGGACATTTGAGCTAATAATTAGTTTCTTTGTGATGCTCTTGGTGACCGATTTGTGCAACTTCACCTCCACCACAGAGACAGCTGAATGAAACGCTAACACGTGTGCTCTGCTCATCCAGCAAAAGCAAATCTGCCGTACGCGTTTCCTCCTGTCAGCACTACCACTGTGAACGCAGCCTTTGTTCTCTCAAGCAGGCTGCTGCTCAAGATGAAACAGCGACAGCATGTGCATTTCATTCAGGCAATCTCATCACCTGAAAATAGAATAATTAAAAAGAGGATTTAATTGCTTGAGTCTATAAATAATCTCTCTCAGCAGTGATAGTATGAGGAGAGCTGCTTTTGGTGGTTTTTCCTTCAGATTTTCAAGTAAGATAGTTTTTAGAAATATGCTTTCTGTTATTGTCGACATTTGTCAAGTTACCTAAACTTAATCATACATAAGTGTACATACAACTTTCATGGGGATGTGATTCATGTTTTATCTGAATTGTTACTTTTCTCCAGGGTTTCACGACGAAATTAAAAGTCAAAATTCTTCCTTTTTATGCAGGACCTGAGAGCAACCATCTTAAATGCTTAACAGGCTTAAATGAAACACTTAGGCCGGGTAGAGATAATACTTTATAAATTGTCTCTTAGCAACCTGGACCTCAACTGCATGCTTTTTAGTCCTTAACAAAAAGCTTCTGACATAATTCTGGTTGGATATGTATAAAAAAAATGTTTGCAGAATTGGTAGTTCATTTACATGGGTTGGTTTCCTGTTTTTCTAGGGGTCATTTAAGGTGAATTAATCAAATTTGTAGGTAGTTCCCTCTAGACTTATCCAAGGAGTTTATCAAGGGCTACAAAAAGCAGGTTTCTATGTACGTTGGTAATATGAGTGAAGAGATAAGAAAACAATTCAAAATAAATCAAAACTTGAGCCCGACTCTTGTTTTTAACCGTCAGTAGAGGCTATGTTTTCACCAGAATTGTTTTATGTTTACCAGCAGATTACCAGGGTCCATTTCCTTATTATAAAGTCTTGCAGCTGAATCAGCAAATTTGACTTTACAGTGTCAGTGCACAGTCTTAACAACAGTCATCTGTTTCTTAGAGTGACACCCAACAAAAAAAAACAAAAAAACAACTAATTTAGGTCACTGATCAGCTTACAAAATAGCTGATAATCTTAAAGGATTTTCTGACTAAACTCCATCTAATGTGGCTGGATTTGGATTGGGGCTAAAAGACGTGGCAAAGAGAAAATAGACGGTGCTTAGAGTACAGAACCGTGAGTACAGCGTGAGCAGGTTTGAGGTGTGACATTTAGAAAAGAGAAAGACAAAACACTCTAATATCTCCTCAATTTAAAGCAACTTTATTGTTCTGTCCCAAACAAAGTGTGGTTTATACCATTGTTATGTTGTGAGAAGAAAAGAAAGCATGTACAATGACCTCAACACCAATGGGCAAAAACCTTGGTAAAATGATACAAAAATAAAAAAATAAAAATAATAATAATAATAATAGGCATCTTTTTTCCTTGGGGAGCACCTGGACCAAAGTCAAATTAGGTTATTTTCTTTTCAACGTATCCATCCCTTGTTTTACACCAGTATTTGTTATCAGAAACCTCAATCTTACCAAAGCAGCTGGTGCTTATTTTATAGCCTGAGATATGTATGATGGGATGGTAGGGCTGAAAAGGCTTTTTGAAAATTGTTTGCTTTAAGTTATATACATTAATGTACATGTGTGTAATGCTGCAGAAAAACATCCCTATGTAGAAACTATATTGTATCTTGTAATATGGTACAAAATATAACATAGTATAACGGATAAATATTTGTGAAAAAATCTGAATGATACAGAGTGGAGAGAGCTCATTATTCTGTCATCGTCTACAAATGATTACTGCTCAGTTAGATAAAAAAAAATCTATTATCCAGTTGGCAGTTTAGAAAATAGCAGAAATAAATGTAGACATTTTGTGACAGCATTATGTTTCTTGTTCAAAAAGATGTTTCACAGTCTGAGAACAAAGCAATTATTTCAACGCTTAAAACGCATATCATTGGATTCTTGTTGTCCAGATAACAGGAAAACATATTTTTTAGGATGGGAACAACATTGAAGTACTGGATCGTATTGCTGCTCCTCCCAGTGGAGTCCACTCACCTGATCATGACCCTTGGATGAGGGCATTATGATGGCCAGGATGCAGATCAGCTGGAAAATGGCACCCAGGAACAACCCATAGCGCAGGATGCTTTCCAGTAAGGTGGGTTCAGGTACCTCCGGAGGGGACAGGTCCAGCTCTGCAGACATGATGCTGCTGTGTCTGGACTTATTTCATCCGACGAACTTCCTGTCCAACCAGCAGCAGTAGGATTAATTAACAGTGTCTAGAAATTAGCTGGTTAAAGCTAAAATTGGATCTGCAAAGCTAACACACAGTAAGCCAGCTATTGTTCTGCAGCAAAAGACAGATGCAGTGCAGCTTTAAAGCCGATCTGTAAACACAGAAAGGAGATGATAAAACAAAGAGCTGAGTAGAAATAAATCTGGGTTAAATGACTGGATGAAAAGCTCACCAGCAATGACGGAAAAGCCCCGACTGTTTATTTGGTCCAAAACGTTCTATCGCCAAAACCGAGAAAAGAAAAACATGGAAAGACTTTGCACTCTAAGAATAAACGGAGAGAAAATAGCATAGTTTTCACAAACCAGGAAAAAAAAGGAAAGAAAAAAAACGGAAGTGACGCACTCAAAATGCCATCTACTTCCTTTGTGCTAGAAGATTAATTTGAAAATGTCGCCCTCTAGCGTTAGTATTTTTTAAGAGATTTTTTTAAATAAAAAATTACAGATTAAATAAATCAGTATATTATTATTATTATTATTATTATTATTATTATTATTACACTAATGATATGTTCTTTTTATTATTTAATCCTCTTTTTAGGTTAAACATATTTTCTTGTAACAGTAATAGGACATCATTACTCCAAAGAAATACTTGCACCTCTCTAAGGGTCTGTATATTTGTTCTTTCTCTAGGGCTGCAACAACAAAGTTATGTAAAAAAGGATAAACTCGTCTGCTTTTGTGTAGACCCTCAAAATGGCACAGCAGAATTTAAAAGCCTAGAAAAGGCAACAAAATATCAGAAATTAAAAATAACTAAATTAAATGAAACATCTTATGTAAGTATATATTTTTCATGCAATGTTTAAAGGTAAAAATTTTAGTTCACACAGAATGAATAAAATACAATGTAAACCCTTTGTGGCTCTGGGAATGTATGATTTGTGGTGAAACTGCCTCATTCAGCTGATATTTTCTCGTGGATTCTTCTCCAGCTGGGTATTTCAATGAGGTGGAAGCTGAAGCTCCAGTATCACCATGATTTCTGTAGACTGTTAAATATGTGTTCATGATACATAAAAACTCTAGCTTTTCAGTTGGTACAGATAAAAATAGTGTCGTTCAAACTGGAGCTGACACTATGTGTGTGATCTGAAAAATAAATGTGAAAATGTTACATCTTTAAAGGTCATACATGCAAAACTAAGATATTAAAGTATTAAGTTTGTGATTCTGATTCAGTGTTTGTTTCCTTCAGCCATTCAAACTTAAAATAATCACATTTCACACCCAGACTCATATAAACTGAATTTATTTCATATAAAATAGTTTCTACATTCTTAAAAGAGCAATTGTACAATAATATGAACAGAAAGAATTCAAAAGTGATTAAAGGCAAAATAGATACATAGTCTATCTTTATAAATGGCTGTTTTTAAAGCTCTTAAAAAGCTGAACCACTATTCTTCCTGAATCCAACAGTAACATGATGCTGACTTGAAATTAAAAAACATACAAACCAATATTATATTAGCTTGCAATATATTTCCAATAACATTTTAGAAGTCTTGGTCTTCAGAGATGCTAAAGTGTTGCAGGATCAGTCTTCACTGTGGCCTTTCATGTCTCTTCTTATGATGTCATTTACTAAAAAACAGAAAACAAGAAGTTCATGCACAAACCCAAGTGAGGTCAGATTGTTTTATTCAATGCCGCCAATAGGTGGCGCCAGAGTCTGGCCTTGTTCTGTTATTTTGTAATGGCTCAATGTAGACTGTGAGAAAATGATGAGTGAGAAATTGGGGGGAGTGAAACAAACGTCCTTCACAGGACTTGAACCAGGGATGTTGAGGTTTGTGGTTGGCGCCTTTCTGACCTCAGTCACCAAGTTCCCCCTCTATGACATGATTTAATAAAACCTACGTGAGTCCATCAATGATTGATTGACAGTGAATGAAGAATGACTGCAGTTACATTATTGTCCACTAGATATCCTTGACTTTGCTCTGGCGTCAATAGCGTTAGTTTCTAAATAGCTTTGGTATATTTTATATCACAGAATATAAAAACAAAATTAATTCTCCGCTTTGTATAAAAGGCCAGATTGAGAACTTAGGTGTTTTATTACTGTTATTTTTCATCAGCATATATTTGCATGTGTACCGTTTACTTTCTGTTTTTGCCTGCCTCCAAAGAGATCCAACCAGACATTTTCTCACTTTACAACAGTGTAAGCTCTTTCCCGTCACAATTGTTAGGTTAGTTATAGTAGATTTGGTTGAAAGGAAACTGGGTGTACTCATTACAATTCAGAAAGTGTGTGAAAGAGACAGTGAGAGTGAGACTGAAACAGACAGGAAAGTGGATAGAAAGGCCCGTCTGAAAACCACATGGAAGGATTTGCAAATGTATAGTTGCATGGTGCTTGTTTGCACTGCAGACTGGGCCACAAACACCCATCCCCCAGGCTACAGAAACTTCTCCTTACACAAGCTATTTTGATGATCTGTCTTTTTTTTTTCCTTATAGATAATTTATTCAATAGTCCTTAGGCCAAATTTAGTCATGTTTAAAACATTTTTTTATCAAAATATCTACATTTCCTGAGGCTCGTCTCGCTGTTAAGAAACATATTACAAGATGATTGATTTAAGATGAGTGCAGGATCTGGTCTTTGGGGTTTTTCTTAAAATTACCAGTCAACTGTCTGTGTATCTGCCTGCTAAATATGCCATTAGTTCTCTCACTTTGTAGAGTATTACATCAAATTCAAACTTATTTTCAGTGTAAACAAACAACTTTTGTTTACTCTGAAAATAAACAAAATTATTTTCAGTTAATACTTTAACTGAATTATTAAATTCAGTTAAGTTATTAACATATCCATCCTTTTGTGCTTTGTTCAATAAGCACAAAGGAGATAAAAATAAATGATAGATGGGGTCAAAACAAGGTCACCTTTCCAAGGAAACCTCATCTTATTTAGATGTATGAAGGAATCAAATGATGGGCACCCAATTTTTTCACACCTTTATGTTTCTCCTAAGATGGCAAATAACATTAAAAGAGGATTATCAAAGGGAAGGTAAGCAGAGATTTAATAAAACAAGACTGGTTTTCCAGAGCTACAGTATGAGGTTTTCAGTTCAGAGCAAAATTAGTTCTATGTTTCCGGTGAATGCATCTAATTTTTATTCTTAATTGTTACCTTTGACAAATCTTTGTTTTGCTTTGTGTAGAGTGTATGTACAGCATGAGCATTAAGAAGGCAAGGCCAAACTGTAACACATATAAAGAGCTATTTCAGTAAAACACTGTCACATTATTTTACCCCTGGCTGGTCTGGCTGGTCTGTCACAGCTGCCTGTTCCTTCATATCAACATGGAGACATTTGAGACTTGATAAATATACGCATCATCACAGCTTTAGACATAGTTTGCATATAGATATGCAAACAAACTGTGTAAAATACTCTAGTATTAGCCTTTGGGAACAGGGTTCTGAGAAACTGATGCGACAAACTGCCCTCTAAACTATAACATAAGGTTCTCTTTGAATTGCAGGTTTTCTTCAGTTATCAAGTTTTTCACTGTCTGATCCACTGTATTGTTTAATATTTCTACAGACGGTGTATTGTTGCTGATTGAAATCGGACTTATAAAGCTCCACACAGATGTTTCCTTTTGGGCTGATTGCCTGAGCTACTTCATTATGCAGTGTATAAATATGTTTGTTAGTTCTTTATCTGTAAGTGGGAGATAAACTACAGGCTGGTTATCAATTTTTGTATGTATATGTGGATTTCTGTTCTTTCAAGTGAGATATTAATATTGTCAAAATGTTTACAAACATGAAAATATAACATTTATAACTATAATTATGGCATTATTTAGGTCTGATTTGGCAGCTCTGTGTTTCCATATACTTTATTTCATATGTTCTGGCTTCTGTTTTTTTTTTTCTTCTTCTTTTTATTCTTATGTTATTGACTTTTTATATTATCACTATAAAAAAACAAAATCTTAGCAAGTATTTTGGTCTAGTTTTGAGTGCAAATATCTTAGTATGCTTGAAATAAGACAAAAAATAACTTTTAAGTAACTTTTCAGCAAGATTAAGAGTTTGTTTTAAGCGAATAATTTTTAAATTATTATTTTTGCACTAAAAACTAAACCAAAAATACTTGCTAAGATCTAATGTTTTTTGAAATGATCCTTTTTTATTGATTTAAATGCAGCGTTTCTGTTTGTTAACATTTTGCAGAACATCTGGGCAAATAAAACTTCATACACATTAATACTCACCATCCTCCAGGTAGGCATAGCTGAGATTCTCTTGTTTAATGGTTATCTTCTCTGGAGCCTTATCGTCATGGTTTCCTTTAGCAGATCTGATCTGGGTGAGCGGCTGCCCGACTGGCTGAATCTGGCTTCCTGCCTTCACTTCAACGTATCTGGAAGGTGGCGACTTTCCCAGAGGTGGCACAAAACCCGGATGCCTCGACACCAAAGAGGCTTCAAAGGAATCCCCGACCTGTGGACCCTCGCCCAGTTTGCTCACGGGGGTTTGGGCGCTGACACACTGACCGGGACCGGAGGCAGGATGGTTGGTGCTGTAGTTGCTGTAGAGCTGGTTTGCAGAATGGTACATCACTGGGTTGTTGACCACATTCCCAGCTCTGGACTGGTAATAAGCTGGCTCCTCGAAAGAATCGGGTGGTAGCATATGGCTTCTGGGGTCTACAGTGGCTAGATGGTAGAGTGCAGACGAAACATTCAAGGCTGGAGGGTTGATGTCTTGCTCAAACTGATGGTAAAAGGACTTCATTGAAATGGCAGACAGGTGATGATTGTCTGAGCAGTTGTATGAATCCAGATGGTAGTCATCCCGAGGCTCTGCTTTGATTGCTAGAAAATAAAAACAATTTTGTCTCGTGAGAACGTGCTGCTGACATCACAACACTGCTTAGCATAAGCGAGCATGACCCAGAGGCTGCAGCTGTGACAACATACAGTCTCATCAGGGCTGTTTTTAGCCACAGCAGGTTATGAACATGTGCATAACATCAAGCAGCAGCTTCTGTAACTTAAAAATGAGGCCAGAGCTTTACTAGCAAGAAGAGATGTTTCTTCAACATGTGCTTGGTGTAAGACTGAGTCAACACTGATGATACAAAATTACTTAGGTTATTTCACTCCATAATAACAATGTGTTTCTCCAAAAAATAAGGAATTGCATGTCAAAAATTAGTGATATCTTTAAATAAGATTTCTAAGAAAGGAAAGTTCTTCCATAGATTACATTATCCTAGATTTATCAGTCTGAAAAACGTAGATATGTGGTGTTTGAGATCACTATCAGTTATTCAGAATGTTTTGTCAAGTTAATACTTCTCTCATAA